GACGCTAATAGCGCTCATTTTTTGGGATGGAAGCTCGTACATGCACTTAGTTCGCAAAATTTTAGCTTGGTAGCTTTTGTAAGTCTCGAGATGAAAGATCGGTACAGGCAGACACACAGACACACACAGACAACCCCTCGTCAAGTATGCATTTTCTGCATTGCATAGATGCAAAAAAACCTATAAAAAGTAGCATGCCGGTAATGGGGATGAAACTGGAAATTTTCTGTTGCTGTGGTACTTGTGTGGTTTCTTCATTTGAGGTTTAACCATCACTTTCAGAAAATAGTTTTAATGAGCATCTCCTTAGCAAGTTTTTTGGATTTCTTCATGTTATCCCTTTATATATTCGCTGCCTTCCTGCTTATCATCTTGAGTCTTTCACGATGCTAACAAAGCTTCTTTTTACATACATATTTTTTTTTTAATCGCCAAGCAAGACACATATATAAGAAGCTTTTTTGACCTTTTTTATCATCCATTGCTACATTTTCCAACAAAATTTCCAATTAACCTTAAATATATGTACATATATACGTATGTATATACATATAAATGTATATATACATATATATATATATATATATATACATATATATATGCTAGCATACATACATTTCATGCGCTTAGTAAATAAAAAGAGAATTACAAAAGACACAAAAGCATACAGCGAAGACTCGCAGCGTTTAAGATCAGCGCAAAAGAAATTTAGCGCCTTAATGTGCAAGAAGTGGTTTAATAGATTTAGACGATATTCAGGCGCATTTTTAGCATTTGCTGGCTATAATTTTTCGATACGGTTACAGTGTATATGTTTCTGGTTGGGTGGGGGAGGGGATTGATTAGTACTTCCAAGTCTTAATTACACTTTCTGCAAATGCAGCTATTAGCCACTTAATTATGCTGTATTTTTTTTTTTCAGGCAGTAATAGATGGCAAGCCAAAGATGGTTCAGTTTCTGGTGGAACACGGCGCCGACCTCAATGCTCAAGACAACGAAGGTCTTTTTTTTTTATCAGGAACTAGTTATCCTCTTTCTTGAATTATGTAATATTGCTCATTGTTCATTGTGGGACAGGAAAAAGCGGGGGTGCGGGAGCAGGGGGAGAGGGGAGGGGGCAAGAACATTGGATTTTTTCACAGTTCTGCTCGTGAAGCCAAATTTGATCCCTGCCGTGAACCAGTGAAGTTAGCTGATATGGGAATTTTGCGCCATTTTAAGGCTTTGAGCTAAGTTTTCATTCCAGCTGGATTGTTCGCAAATACGTAAACGATCCCACACGAACACACACGCATTCATGCACAAGCAACAACATTTTCTCGTACCTAAATTTTTTCGAAAAAAAAAGAACAAAATTTGATTTTTTTTTTAAATGGTAGGCAAAATTCCTCCATAATTCCTCGAGTATTTTCAATTAAATGTTTTACTCCCATATTTAGTACAAATTTGTTAAAAGTCTGTTATATCGTAACACCTCATCCTTATGGATTTTTTACAAGAGCATTGCTCTTTGGCATAATCAGACTTTTTACGGGCTTGCGGGGGGTAGAAGATCATTGATGGAGGTGTTCAGAGATGAGTAATTCGAGTCTCGTTAGTGATTTAGCACAGTGTTGCAGTGACCTCTAAAAGTGAACACAGTTATAAAGATAACGATAAAATGACTTCATCTCGAGGTTATCGATAGGATGCTTCCCTTGACATCTTCACTACGTCTTGTCCCTACGGTTTTTGACGGGTTAACCACTACACTGAATTTTCCTTTGTACTCTACATTCATCAGCTAGAAGCTATAAATCTGATATGTATGAAACCCTCTCCCTCCCCTCCCCACCTTTGATCCCCCTCCCTCTTACCTCCTCTCGTTTGGCAGTGTTTTGGCCTTTTTCTATAAACAGAAGGGAAGGGCGTTAGCTGGGATGGTAGTGTTGCATCACCGGGCCGCATAAACCTCCAGCGTGCATGACTATCAATTTTTGTACGTTTGTGCACGTATGCAAATGCGAAAACGCATATTGTGACGAAATTGTACAATGTTTGGCAGTTGCCACAAACAGCACACACTTTCCCAATTTGCCCCGTTATTTCGTAGGTATCCACAGCTCTGTGAAACATTCTTCTGTATTCCCATTGTTCCTTTCAGGTTGGACTCCCCTGCATGCAGCAGCCTGTTGTGGCAATGTTGACTTGGTGGAGTACCTGTGTGCTGAAGGTGCCGATATCTCGGTGACTAATAGCGACAAAGAATTGGCCGTTGATTTAGCGGAAGAAGATGATTGTCGTTTAGTTCTGGAGGAGGAACACCAGCGACAAGGCATCGACCCGGATGAATGCCGCAACAGGTCATCTGTGTACTCTTTATAACATATATTTTATAATACAACATATACTTTATATATGCTATCATTTTTTGAGAAATTATGTTATTTGATAGATCCCCACAAATCTACAAATCCTTAAATATCACTGCTTCATTTTAGTGTTTATTTAACAATTTGCTTGAGTACCATTCAGTAATCCGCTTTGTCCATCTGTCTTCTCTCATTCTTGCTACGTAATTAGACAAATTTTTTCTGTTATGAGGAGCATCAGTTACTTGTTTACGGTGATTCATGATTGCCATACCTCATCAGCACAATGTTCAGATCATATATTACCTTACAGAGGAGATATTTTCAATGATTTTTAGAGGAGTTATTCAAAGCAGTAGCGAGGATATGAATTCATTTACAGGAGTAGCCTTCCCTTTGAATTGTAATTATATACTATTAAATCACTGATTCCCCCCCCCCCTTCCCCGTCTTCCACTGTCGCCCCCTCTTCCCCCTTGCCCTTCATCTTATGGAAAATTTGTAATTATGTGCTATTAAATCAGTGCTTCCTCCCTCCCCCGGTTCCCCCCATTCCTCTCGCCTCCACTCCGTCCCCCCCCCCTCCCCACCTCCCCTTCGCCCTTCATCGTTTGGGAAATTAAGCATGAATTATCAGAAATAACCAAATTCCACTGCTGTATGATTTCCAGGGAATTAGCGATGATGAAGCGTGATGCGGAACAATGGCTAAAAGATGGTCAAATCCAAGATCGCCCACATGCTCGCACTGGTGCAACTGCTCTTCATGTTGCTGCAGCTAAAGGGTTCTTGTTTAGTCTTAAAATACGTAATAATTTGGTCAGCTTAAAATCGCCTGATTGATCTGTTTTTTGCCCTTTAAAGCTTAAAATGGAAGGGCACATCTACTGTTTTTCACCGTTTCAAATTTAAAATGGAAGGGCACATCTGCTGTTGGTTTCAGAAAACCAAGGTATTTGCCTTCCATAGGAGTAACGGGGGGGGAGGGGAGGGGTAGAAACGGTCGGCAATAGTTCAGATGTCAGCAGGATGCTAGAAACACCACTTGCTGACAGATCTGTCGATGATTTTTTCCCTTCA